TAGGTTTTGGAATAATGTCACTGTGTATGCTTTACATTCTTGGTATAACAAGTGACATTAAAATCAGGGTGCAAAACTAACATTCGCCAAACTCAATCAATCAATCAATCAATCATCAATCAATCAATCAATCAATCAATCAAATAAATAATACATAATTATAAATGATATCCGATACAATATACAATAAATATATAATTATTTTAATTATATTAATCTATTCTTAAAATTATATTAATAAATTGTATAATTAAAAAGCATGAATAAATAAGTAAGTAAGTAAGTAAGTAAGGCCAGCACATTTTCTCTATTCACCTACCTTTGGTAGGCATGACTAAACACTTATTTTGGATCCTGATTACAACTGGTTTTATACAAATAGTAGCTGTCAAATCCTTGTATTATTCCAAATGTGAGTACTCCAGTGAGAGCAGTGGTAACTGCATACTGTGAAAGCTCCTGTTCTTAAGCCCTTTTTGGACAGGACTAGTTTTCCCTGAGGAGGTCAGGTTAATTTGTGTTTCACAGACATACTTTGCAATTTTAATCCTCTGAAATCAAATGTGTGTTCCTCTACACAAAAAAAAGAAAGAAAGAAAAATAATACAAAATATCAAATTATGTACTGTTTTTTGGCTAACTCAATGGGTCTTCTGAAAAATCTAATCTGGTCTGGATAGGGATGTCTGTGGAATGACACGCCGCTTCTCATTTATTTTGACCTTCATCGAATACCGTAACAAAAGTTAAATTTCTCATTGCGCTGCCTGCTGCACCTTCATTATGGATTTCAACCTTTTTGCCAGCTTTCTGGGGGAAAGTAACAGTTGGCGGTTCAAGTGCTGCTGGCATCCAATCCGACGTAAAGGGAAAATTAAATCAAGCACAGTCCTATCGCTGACTCATATTTTTTACAATAAAACAAGCCTGACAAAGAATAGGATTTGTAGTGAGTTGTTGCTAATACCAAAGATAAACACATTAGGGCTCAAAAGCTTTACTAGCCTCCTCAGGTCTAGCAGAGAGCCATTGATTTTGCTGAGGTGTGAAATGTTTAAGCAGAATATTGACGTGCTTCACAACATAATGGAAGACCAGGCCCGACCCTTGCCATTCTTTACTCCGCTTCACTCCCCAACTGTTTTACAGCCTCGCCTCCATCCCGCTGTCCACGATGTATATCTGTGTTGGCTTCCAGACCAGATCAACTGGAAAATTACATGTCTGCCCATTTAAGCTCCACTGGCGAAAGTCTATTGTTGGGCATCAACTCAAAAGTAGCAAGAGTTAATTTAGAGCGGTCGCTGGCCATGTTAAGTGTGGAGGAGAGGGAGTGGGAAGAGTAATAGGTAATAGAGCAACACACAGGCTAATACATCGGCGCAATTAGCCACAAGCAGAGGCAGCTGTGGCGTGACGGAGGCCTGAGGGTAATTGCAGACCCCACTCATCACTGCCTCTCGTTAATGCAGAACTCTACACCCCTGGGAGAGAGAAAGAGAGGGACTTCCTCTTCCCTTCCCTCACCCCGCTCTCTACTTCCATTCCAATCATCCCTGAGCACCACTCTGCTTCATGGTGAGCCCACTCTATGTCTTTCTCTCTGGAGATTGGAGTGTGCACCCTGGTCCTACCACATGCTGAAAAATATGACAGTCTGTTTGAAAAGCCCGGGATGGAGTGTTCAATCTTGAGTGCGCGCTCGGAGTACGGCCTCGTCTGCATATTTGGTGAGCAGTGCAGCTCATGATGGATGGCAGAGAAGGAGGACAGGAAAAGGGGAACATCTGAAATAGTCCATTCAGATGCCATGGCTATTATGGAACTACGCAACAAACGATGGTTATATTACATTTACTGACACCTTGAAACCAATAACGCTGACTGGCTTGATGTGGAAATCAAGCTAAAAAAAGGTATCTAGCAAAAATAATTAAAAAAAACAATTATTAAAAAAATTAAATAAAATAAACAACAATAATAATAATAATAATAATAATAATAAATAAGCATTTTGAGAGTTTTTGATTGAGAATGTTATTTTTGTCTAAAAATAATAATTTGGTCGAGGTGGCTCATGAGTCATATAAAAAATAAATGACTAAAAAATTAAATAAGTTAATAAATTAGCAAATAAATATCTAATATTTTAAATAGGTAAATAAATAGCATATCATTATTAATATATTTTAAATCTTACTGAGGTTTTTTTTTTTTTTTTTTTTGCTTGAAAAGACTCTTAAAAACACAGCTTTTGTAAAAGGATCATTTGGACTCTTGGTTCCACCAGGAGAGTGAAGCCCAATCAGTGCAGTTTTAAGCTTGTAGCATGCCCTTTTCCACCATGTGTTTCCTCACTGTTCATTTGACACTAGTACAAGCTCTAAAATGCTAGAAAAACATGAGTGTGGGTAAATGATGACAGATTTTTTTTTTTCTAGGTGAACTGGCTCTTTATCTGTTTCTGTCTTGTTTTCCAGTGGAAATATCTAAAGATTCTTAAATCAAGATACACTGACTTGAGAAGAAGAAGAAGAAAAAAGTCTTATTTTATGAGAAACTGATCAAAATGGCATGATTTTAATGATTAAAACAAGAACAAAGTTGACCCTGGACCACAAAACATGTCTTAAGTCGCTGGGGTATATTTGTAGCAATAGCCAAAAATACATTGTATTGGTCAAAATGATCAATTTTTCTTTTATGCCAAAAATCATTAAAATATCAAGTAAAGATCATGTTCCATAAGCTCTAAAATGCTATAGAAACCTGTAAAACCTTGCAAATCAATCTAAGACACTTTTCCGTTTCACACAACAGGGAATGCATCATGATGCAGCAGGCGAGAGAAAATAGCCATACTGTGGTCGATGTGACAGATGCAGCAAAACCAGACTTTTCTGCCAGCCCAGTTCTCGCAGCTAAACGGTGACTCCTTAACAAATGGCAGTGCCATGTGCCTGATGTAATAACGGGATGTGCTGGTCCCAAATCTTACCCTCAAGTTGTTCCAAAACTGTATGAATTTCTTTCAGCTGATGAGCACAAAAGTAGGTATTTTGAAGAATATTGGCAACCAAACAGTTCAAGGTAGCCATTGACTTCCATAGTTTTAATGATTAAAACAAGAACAAAGTTGACCCTGGACCACAAAAGCAGTGTTAAGTCGCTGGGGTATATTTGTAGCAATAGCCAAAAATACATTGTATTGGTCAAAATGATCAATTTTTCTTTTATGCCAAAAATCATTAAAATATCAAGTAAAGATCATGTTCCATGAAGATATTTTGTCAATTTCTCACCATAAATATATTAAAGCTTAATTTTTGATTAGTAATATGCATTGCTAAGGATTTCATTTGAACAGCTGTAAAGGCAATTTTCTCAATATTTAGATTTTTTTTTTTTTTTTTGCCCCCTCAGATTCCAGATGTTCAAGTAGTTGTATCTCGGCCAGATATTGTCCTATTCTAATAAACTTATTTATTCAGCTTTCAGATGATGTATAAACCTCAATTTCGAAAAAAAAAATGACCCGTATGACTGGTTTTGTGGTCTAGGGTCACAAATAAGCAAATATTATGGATGTTAATACATTTGTATTGGAAAACAAAACAAAAGTACCATGGAAGATACTAATTTTTGCAGTTCATGCAACATTTAATGCCATGACTTTATGAATTTAAGGCTGATTTAAGACATTTTAGGCCTTACATTGTGGAAGGGTGAATTAAGACATTTTAATACCATCGGAAACACTCTAATTATAAGTCAGAGTAAGCAATGTTGTCATTTGCATATCCCATCAAACCCAATACGGCAATAAAGAAACGATATAATGAAATAACACAACTCAGATGGTGATCATGTTGAAGGGCATTAAAGGGAAAGAAACATATGTTTGCTAACAGCACATACGGATTAAATTAAGTCAGTTTATGAAACAACCACCTGCACCTAACATGACTCAAATGTTTTCAGGCTACAGAAGCTATAGGCGATACAGCACAAGAACTCATCTACTGGCCCACCGTGGCCCCCTACCTGTGGACAAGAATAATACATAATGAGCTTTGCAAATTGACATTCAAAACTCCTCCAAATTTTGGACTTACAATCATAGCAGGCATTTATGCAATGCATGGAAATGAACCAAGTGGGTTTTAGCTTCCTTTTAAAGCACAATTACAATACAAATGCACTAGTGAACTGATATTAAACAGTGTTTGTTAATGAATGTAAGAAAACAATGATGACACGTCACCTGGCATCATGATGATTCTCACAGGACATTTTAATCCATATGAGGATTAAAGCAAAATAACATAATTTTGATGACCTGCCAGTGACAGTATGCACATATTTTATCCAGGTACTGGACACATGTGTGCTGTTAGGTTATATCAAGAGGTATGTTGCACTTAAAACCAGTAGTCATCTTTAAAATTACAACATCTTGCCAAGCAGAAAACCCCTATCTGGATGTACTATTGCAGTATAAACGTGGGTAGAACATACTGTCGTGCAGAAAAACCTATAAGGGTGTGCTGCCACCATGGGTAAAATATATTGTCAGGCAGAACTAACCCACAACCCTAACCCTATAACATTATAAGAATGTTTGAATAGCATACAGTTTGTCTAACATTATTTTGCATCATGTAAATCACCATTTTGCAAGATCCAAATCTTCAAGTAATTGCATATGCAAATAAAGAGGAGAAAGTGAGCTATCAAATTCATGATGGGGAGAATGGTGGCTCTGGTGCATTGCTGACCATTACTCAGCATCCATGCAGAGAAACACCTTGAGATCATTGCATCTGGAAGAACACCACGCTACTAATTTATAATACTAGCTTTATAGTAATCAGAACCCAATCTGAACCCAAAGGATGCACAAAAACGCTCTAGAAATCAAGAAGAGAGAAATAGTTTGCACTGCACCTTCAATTAATCCCAGCAAGGTTGTTCCACAGAGTCTTTTAAGAAAAGGTTACCTTTCCACAGCGATGCTCCTTGTCCTCCGGTGAAAAGTGAAAGCCGGTGGTCGTTTGACGAGGACGAGGTGGGAAAGCGCTAATTAAAGCCGCGGTAAAAGATCAGACAGGTTCGGTACGGTTGCACAGTACCTTAATGTTCTTCACAATGTGCACCAAAAAGCAAGCTTTCATTTTCTTTACGCAATGCAATTTGCCTCTACTTTTGCTTTCGCGCACAAATAGTTCCCATTCTTGTGATCGACCCTTCTTCCCAGGTGCGGCGAATCAGATATCTAGTTTCCGTGGCTTTTCAGTTTCACCTTGCAATACAAAAATACATATCCGTATGCTGCTCAAATACAGGACAATCCAATCCGTCAGAGGTGTGGATCCTCGAGAAGGAAGCCCCTCGCAATGTCATCCTGATAGATAGGTGATTTAGAAGACAAATACGCACGAAGCGTCTGCTCGTCTTGGAGCACGCTGAAGAGTGGGCGTTATAGGGGTATATCTTCACTGCTCACTGGCAATAAGCATGCATGCCTCCGCCTGAAGCGCTGCTCCTCTACATGCTCACAAACAGGCGCCCTGTCAGCATGGATGGCAGAAACTTGTGACTTTGAGATTGGTGAGAGGTAAAAAAGATACATCATTAGAGTGTGAGAGGAGAACTCCAAGTCAGGCGAAACTAAAGGACCCCTGCCATACGGGCAGTATTTGAAATGAGCGCCCGGCACGTGAGCGGGTTCTTATAATCGGACGGTAATAAAATTAGACAATAATCTGATCGGCGCGGTGATAAAGCTGTGACCCCAACCCCCCTCAGTGGTTTGTTTCAGCACCACGGACAGCGCACACGGACGCGGAACGTTTGAAAACGGATTTATTCTGTACTGGCAAAACGTGATTTGTTTGACGGGTTTGTAAAAATAAAGAATTTACCGCCGGTATGGACGGAAATAGTAAGGAACAGTTTACGACATAGCATAACAATAATATAACAAAGTAGACCCATTTTTATACTACTAGTTGCAGTATACTAACTAAATAAATAAATAAATAAATACATAAATAAAAGTCATAATGTATGTCTTCGGCTACTTTCTAGCAAAGTTCTTCCTGTACACTGTAAAAAAAATAAATAAAAAATAAATAAATAAAGGGGACATTAACACAACGTTCGTAGTTAGCTGGGAACATCCTTGTTTAGTACAAAATAGCACTTTGTAAAAGTTTAATTTCGAGTTGGAAAAGACAAAAGTGACTAGCGATTCATTAGTTGGCCAGTCGGACTACACTGGTCGCGCTGCATGTTACTGATTCGTTTAGAACCAGATCGTAAGAGTCATTCGTTTGGCAACTGATCTACAGTTTATTTATTTATTTATTTTTTCAGTTTTCTTTTATGATTTATTTATTTATTGATTGACTGAATGAATGAATGATGCATTTACATCATTGCTTTTTATTGTGTATTGTTGTACACCCAAAGTGCTTTACAATCATGTGGGGGGGGCTCTCCTCAACCACCACCAGTGTGCAGCATCCACTTGGATGATGTGACGGCAGCCACAGGACAGCGGCGCCAGTGCGCTCACCACACAACAGCTATAGGCTATACGCCCCATGGTCCATGCTCTCCACGGGACTCAAGCTTTCAACCACGAGTGTAGCGATCATGTGCAGACGACCC